AAACGGATGTAGATATCAGACTTTAATAAACAGATGTAGACATCAGACTTTAATGAACAGATGAAGACATCAGACTTTATCTTATACTTCAGTGTGAAAGAAGTGTGTTTTCTGAAGTTGGGAAAAGTGATATTTTCATTGCACTTTGACGGAACTATTATCATACAAGAGTTACCTCCCCTCCAATTGTCTCCCTTTATCGTAAGTGTCTAGCTCATTCACAAACTGTTGACGTCTTTTTTACGTAAGTTCCACATTGACAAGGCAAAAGAATGACAGATGGTCTTTTGTGGAGCTAATATCACTTCTTGCCTTTGTCTTTCTCTCGAAAATGTTTCATAATAAACTGCATATCTTTCATTTAACTCGTCGTTCGAGACTGTTCGTTTGTTCGAGACCTTGACCAGCGTTTATTCTTTCGTTTCGCTTCTTTTGCTAAGATTGATTTTGTATATAATTATACAATTATATAATTATGATTATTTTGTATTTAATCATTTCTAAATGTATGGTCAAGAATGTTCGTGACCCTAAATTTTTTTTGATACTTTTGTTTATATTTTTTAAGATTTCACAAACACAAAACTTCTTTTTAAGACGCAAATACAAGGGCTGACGAACAGTCCCTGAGTGTTAGGTACGGAGAATTTACGTTTCGTTTCAGGTTTTCACATTGGTCATGAAATAATTTAATTTTCCTGTAGACAACTACACATAAAGTATATAATATGTAGGATATTCATTTGTCTTGTAAAATATCACTTTTCTCTCATCTCGTGACGTGGGAAAAGGAGATATTTTTACTCGTGGCTCTACACTCGTGAAAATATCCCCTTTGCCCCCGTCACTCGTTGTGAGAAACATGATATTTCACTCGACACATGAAATATTCGTTATTACTATAGAGATACGGACATCAGACTTTACCAAACACATTCGGATATCAGACTTAACTTAAAAGATACAGATATCAGACTTTACCAAACGGATCCGGATATCAGGCTTTATTATAAATATCCGGATATCAGACTTTTCCAAACAGATCCGGATATCAGGCTTTACTATAAATATCCGGATATCAGACTTTACTAAACAGATCCGGATATCAGGTTTTACTATAAATATCCGGATATCAGACTTTACCAAACAGATCCGGATATCAGGCTTTACTATAAATATCCGGATATCAGACTTTACCAAACAGATCTGGAAATCTGATGTAGATCTTAAATTTCACCATATTACTACATATATCAGAGTTTACTCCACTGACACAGATATCAGACTTTACTAAGAACTTATAAAGGAATTTGATAGTAAATACAGGAAACTACTTCATTGTATTTACGGCATTCATAGCAAATCGTTTAGTTGATACGCACAGACACGTTTTAAATGCAGTAAGGCTTATTTCACAGTGAGATGCTCCCTGGTGTTGTCTTCTAGCGTTTCTTTAGGACGCCAACACACTCTGACATATATACAGTCACACTTAACCATGGCAACGAGGACTATTACAATCGACAAAAACATCGGTATATTATAATATAGGCAAGACCTGATTTACAATAGAAAGTCGCCAATTTCAACAAAGTTGTTATGACGTAAACGACGTATCAACTCAAGCCACTGGCAAAGTGCTGCCCACTCTGGTTGAGACAAACAAATAGCACAAGTAGAACCACTTGCCGTCCGGGTACGATGACATACAAACTCAGCCAGGTGTGGCATGGGTCATAGAGGCTGATACAACGACCTACAACAGACTGATTTCATTTGCGGAACACCGGGATGCTACAAATGTTTGGTGGGGTTGTCTAGTGGTTAATGCGTTCGCTCGTCTCGTCGAAATTCCGGGTTCTATTCCCAACATGTGTACATATATGACACCACTATTGTGTGTCCACTGTCGAGAATTGGTTGTAATGTTGCTGAAAATAATGGTTTTAACAGAACTCACTAATTAACATATTCCTTTCTACTTCCTAACGTCCATTGATATTGACCTTCACTCAAGACAGATAGGACAGTGACAGTCCTCGAATTTCATGAACACCTTACGTCCATTACTTTTCAAATGAATTTCCATGCATGGGTTTTGCATCGTCGATAATCCGGGTTTTTAATATCCTTTCTATTACCCTGGTCCCATTCGCTGCCATTACTTTTAGTAGTCGTATTTGCATACATTGATTCTGAAAATACATTCAAGTTCCCATGATAGTTTGCATTGTCACCGAACATGGACAGCGTGTCAGGTAAATTGTTTGACGCGGATGATAGGCGTTAACTGCTTTGGTGATTCACCAGCGACCATGTTTATGATAGATTGGGATTCGAACCTACGATCAGCGAATCCCGTGACAGCTAGTTGTACAGTGACACTCTATATAATTCTTTGCTTCAAACGAAGGATACTTTCTACACCATTGATACACTTTATGGCTCAATATACCGTATCTCTATATAATAATTAGCTTCAAAGAAGGGATACTTTCTACACCATTGATACACTTTATGGCTTAATATACCGTATCTCTATATAATACATAGCTCCAAAGAAGGGATACTTTCTACACCATTGATACACTTTATGGCTGAATATACCGTATCTCTATATAATACTGAGCTTCAAAGGAGGGATACTTTCTACACCATTGATGCACCATATGGCTTAATATACCGTTTCCAAGTTGTATAAATATGAAACGTCTACAGTTTGTCATCTCAATTGCCTGCCATAACAGACTCCAACGGGGGTAGCAGGCAAAACAATGCTGAACATTATATGAATGGATCACTGAAAATGAGTGATGACACCACGTGCTCGAGAAAGTCTATAACCACTTCATTGTCGTTGCGTTGTTAATGGAAGATCATCAAGCTTGTTGTTCAAGATTTGTATTGTCATCATATTTATTCTCGCCAATGTCTGCTACCGCCCACACACCCCAAGACATATTGTTACTCTGCGATGCCGACCTTCTAATGTCTGCTCAAAATGGTCTCATCCATTCTCGCTATTTCTCGTCCGTATCACGAGAAAGGAAGAATGAGGAGAAACTCTTCTAAAGGTCAACCCCGTAATCGAACACTCTCCCTTTTATATCACTTGCGGAAAATAGAATGTGAAATTTGCCGACTTAACACGAATTCTTTTAATCACGTGGACATACGAATGTTGGCGATTAAACGAAGGTATAACATACTTGGAAATGTATATATTTATAGTCTCCATTTTCAGAAAGCGTGAGGCGTGAGTAGAAAAGAGGTGATCTCATCCATGCATAATTAACACCATTCTTGAAAGACATCTTCCATTCCATGGAAACAATAAGTCTTGAACAACAGTATACTGTAACAAATTTAAAAATGATTTTAGGAACTTGTGACTCACCCGCAACAACTGACAATAAAGACTTCTCCCTGGTTGATGAACAAGCAAGGGTGCTGCTGAATCGTGCGTCAGGGTTGGGTTTGTGTCTCACACAGGTAGTAACACGCTGTATAGTAACCCGTGGCTGAGTGAGTGAGTGAGTGAGTCAGAGAGACTGAGTGCTTCATGCACACGTCGAAGCATTTGAATGAGTGAGTGAGTGTGCGAGTGCCCGGGGTAAACAATGTGAGCATTTGGGAGGATCTTTTCTCGTTTCCCGCCCTCTGCTTGACCGCCTCCGTGGTCTAGTGGACAGCGCGTCTGCCAGGAGAGACGAAGGTTAGGGGTTTGATCCCCGACCGCGTCATACCAAAAGACGTTTAAAGATGGTACTTGTTGTTACCCTGCCTGGCCCTCAGCATAAAGGGACTAAAACAAGGGCTGGTCGGCTCAGAGTTAGTGTACTGTGTCTGAGTGTCGTATTCATCTTGAATCGGGCGTGGCATCTCAGTGGGTAGCACTATAAACTCGGCATTAGTCCGCGGCCGAGCACGCGCACACACACACTCACGGAGATATATTTCTAAGCAAAGATTCAATCTGATTATGATCCCTGAACTGTCTGCATCATACACACGCCCGTGGCTCACAATAACTTGACAGGTCATGACTGAAATACTGCTCAAAGCGGCTTCAACTGAAACTGACTCACTCACTCTTCACTTCGGACTCCAAACAGTAAGCTGACGAGACCGTCATAAAGTGAAATACTGTTCATAGCAACATTAAATACAACTCCATCACTCAGAGTAGAGTCTCGGCCCACGTTCTAGCAATTGATGGAAATATAGCGGCAGGCAGTTGTAAGCAAACACGGGGTATTTAAGTCTTGTCTCTGTAATATCTTATAATGTATCAATCTGTCGTCATTGAACATAAAAGCATTTATCATAATTCATATGTTCTGTTTGGTTTTCGCTGTATAATTGTCGATGTTCGTGAGAGGAAGCTTTCCTTACGCCGACTACGACAAACGCCAAATTATGATGTTAATGACCTTCTGTTATCTCTTTTGCGTGGGCAATATGTTATTTTTCCACGATTGTGAAGCATTGCCTCAACCATGAGATTATCAACATATGTTTTAGGGGCAACTGAGTTAACTGTCTGTAAAAGTCCAGTTTCCACCCTTGCCGAACTTGGCTGGTATAATGGAGTTATATTTTGGCTGGACTAACGAGTCTATGCATAGTCCAATCAAAATCGCGTAACGAAATCGATATCCGGTTTGTAAACTGTCGTGCAGATTTCGGTCGATTGCAGGATTTGCAAAGGGTGTGCACCGCCAACTCGGCGTCAGCAGATATTTTCCAAATCTTTTCATGTTTTTAATCAAGGTGCTCACGTTATTCGAAGCACTTTCGATGTAAGACTCGTTTTATCACAACATAGATCTTAATTATTGATCACATCGTCTCGAATTGGCGCCGCCATTTTGTTTGAAGCAAATGCAAGTGATACAAGCGGTCGAATCTGATTGGTCAGTAGGAGAGGCATAGAAGGGACATAACTCATAATAACCGCTGGTGGCGCTGCGATCGAGCCCAAGTCTAACCCGGATCTTCACAGGGGTGCTAGTGACACAACTACCCCGGGTCCCCACGTGGTGTGGAAGACAGTGACACGTGTTATCTGTCATTGGCGTCGCAATGTACGTATTTACAGAAATGGGGTATTCGCCTTTAACACACAACATTTTTTAACGTTTTCATGTCTGCCAACATGTTTTTTCAAAATCGTTTTGGTGTAAGTATTCTTTTGAGACACACGTCAAGTTGTGTCAAATTGAATGCCACGTATCGCATCATATGGTATAGCGGGAGATTAGCACGTGCTGTTACACAAATGGGTAATATTAATTCACTTGGGATCACGATGACGTCATTGGCTACATCACTAATCCATACGTCTCTGTCTCTAGGTCCAGTTTCCCCCAAAGACATAAGATATATATTTCAGTTTAATTGCTACGTGTACATTTTTACGAGAGACAGTTGGTCTTAACGAGATGCGACAGGTTTGCTCCATGGCGTTGGGCTGTATTACAATTCTTAACTCGTGGCACCGGGTTCCTGTCACAAAATTAGCTGGACACTCGTGTAACATCCGCTTATCTTGGTCTTGTCCAACATACCTTACCTGTGACGTAACTGCGTGGGCTAGGTTTGGTATTTCAAAAAATAAAGATTACTAAAAAATTCCTAAGAAGTGCTTAGATTAGATTTAATTCGAGAAGTGTGTGCTGCTAACTATCATCACATCATTTACTTTTCAGCCTGTATAGTTAGTAAATTTATGTTTGTAGGTTTGAACACTCGACAGTGCTAAATTTTGTCTTGCTTGTCCTGTAATATATATCTTGCTTAGTCTGTTCTTCTCGATCTTTTCCTGTTTTACTTATCATTTAGGTCTTGCCGTGTCAGTCTTACCGGAGAGAATAGTTAGTTACTGGTGAGTATCGACCTTGATGTTGCTTTGAAACGTTTGGCCAAACCAGAAACAGACGCCAATAAATGGAAAAAAGACAGCATGTTCCTGAGTTTGAAATTTGGAAACAAGGGAATTGATATTCCCCCTAAATGTCTCACAATATTAAAAGAAAACCTCAACAGTTTCATTTTGTATTTTACGAACAACATCTCATCCAAGTTGTATAAACTATAGGAACGTGTTGCAGAACGTGGACTTGGCAGCTCATGATTTACTTTCCACTAGTTGTGACTGCCAAGACTCATAATATTGCTTATATCATGTAGAGCATCGGCCTTGTCATGGTCTCATCGGTCTTGTAAAGTCGTTCTTGCCATGTCGGTCCTATCGGTCTTGTCATGTTGGTCTCATCGGTCTTGTAAAGTCGTTCTTGCCATGTCGGTCCTATCGGTCTTGTCATGTTGGTCTCATCGGTCTTGTAAAGTCGGTCTTGCCGTGTCTGTCCTATCGGCCTTGTCATGTTGGTCTCATTGGTCTTGTAAAGTCGGTCTTGCCGTGTCTGTCCTATCGGCCTTGTCATGTCGGGCTCATCGGCCTTGTAAAGTCGGTCTTGCCGTGTCTGTCCTATCGGCCTTGTCATGTTGGTCTCATCTGCCTTGTAAAGTCGGTTTTGCCGTGTCTGTCCTATCGGCCTTGTCATGTTGGTCTCATCGGCCTTGTAAATGCGGTCTTGCCGTGTCGGTGCTATCGGCCTTGTCATGTTGGTCTCATCGACCTTGTAAAGTCGGTCTTGCCGTGTCTGTCCTATCGGCCTTGTCATGTTGGTCTCATCGGCCTTGTAAAGTCGGTGTTGCCGTGTCTGTCCTATCGGCCTTGTCATGTCGGGCTCATCGGTCTTGTAAAGTCGTTCTTGCCGTGTCTGTCCTATGGCCTTGTCATGTCGGGCTCATCGGTCTTGTAAAGTCGGTCTTGCCGTGTCTGTCCTATCGGTCTTGTAAAGTCGGGCTCATCGGTCTTGTAAAGTCGGTCTTGCCGTGTCTGTCAAAATCGACCTTGTCATGTGGGGCTCATCGGTCTTGTAAAGTCGTTCTTGCCGTGTCGGTCCTATCGGTCTTGTCATGTTTGTCTCATCGGTTTTGACATGTCGGAATCATCTGTTTTGTCGTGTTTAGTTGCTTTGTCATATTGATCCTATCGGTCTTGTCATGTCAGTATCATCGGTTTTGTCATGTCAAACCTATCGGTCTTGTCATGTCAGTATCATCGGTTTTGTCATGTCAAACCTATCGGTCTTGTCATGTCAGGCTCACCGGTATTGTCATGTCAAACCTATCGGTCTTGTCATGTCAGGCTCACCGGTATTGTCATGTCAAACCTATCGGTCTTGTCATGTCAGTATCATCGGTTTTGTCATGTCAAACCTATCGGTCTTGTCACGGCGGTATTTTCGGACTTGACATGTCGGTCTCGTCGGTCTTGTCATGTTGGTATTATCGGACTTGACATGTCGGTCTCGTCGGATCTACTATATCGATATCACTGTGTCGGTTCTATCGGTCTCGTCAGTTCTTGTCATGTCGATCTCGTAGGTGTTGTCATGTTTGTCTTATCGGCGTTGTCTTGTTTTCTTTTATCGTGTAGGTATTTAGCCTTGTCTTATTCATCTTGCTGGTGTTTGTCTTGCTTTTCATTTACTACTGGTTTGGATTGCAGGTGTTCTTTTACTGATTTTGTCTTGCTTATATTATATTTACTGGTTTGGTCTCTCTGATCTTATATTACTGGTTTTGTCTTGCTGGTCTTCTTATATTACTGGTTTTGTTTTGCTGGTCGTCTTATATTACTGGTTTTATTTTGCTGGTCGTCTTATATTACTGGTTTTGTTTTGCTGGTCATCTTATATTACTGGTTTTGTCTTGCTGGTCTTCTTCCATTACTGTTTTTGTTTTGCTGGTCTTCTTCTATTACTGGTTTTGTCTTGCTGGATTTCTTCTATTACTGGTTTTGTTTTGCTGGTCTTCTTCTATTACTGGTTTTGTTTTGCTGGTCTTCTTATATTACTGGTTTTGTTTTGCTGGTCTTCTTCTATTACTGGTTTTGTTTTGCTGGTCTTCTTCTATTACTGGTTTTGTTTTGCTGGTCTTCTTATATTACTGGTTTTGTTTTGCTGGTCGTCTTATATTACTAGTTTTGTTTTGCTGGTCTTCTTATATTACTGGTTTTGTCTTGCTGGTCTTCTTCCATTACTGTTTTTGTTTTGCTGGTCTTCTTCTATTACTGGTTTTGTTTTGCTGGATTTCTTCTATTACTGGTTTTGTTTTGCTGGTCTTCTTCTATTACTGGTTTTGTTTTGCTGGTCTTCTTATATTACTGGTTTTGTTTTGCTGGTCTTCTTCTATTACTGGTTTTGTTTTGCTGGTCTTCTTCTATTACTGGTTTTGTTTTGCTGGTCTTCTTATATTACTGGTTTTGTTTTGCTGGTCGTCTTATATTACTGGTTTTGTTTTGCTGGTCATCTTATATTACTGGTTTTGTCTTGCTGGTCTTCTTCCATTACTGTTTTTGTTTTGATGGTCTTCTTCTATTACTGGTTTTGTCTTGCTGGATTTCTTCTATTACTGGTTTTGTTTTGCTGGTCTTCTTCTATTACTGGTTTTGTTTTGCTGGTCTTCTTCTATTACTGGTTTTGTTTTGCTGGTCTTCTTCTATTACTGGTTTTGTTTTGCTGGTCTTCTTATATTACTGGTTTTGTCTTGCTGGTCTCCTTCTATGACTGGTTTTGTTTTGCTGGTCTTCTTACATTACTGGTTTTGTTTTGCTGGTCTATTTATATCACTGGTTTTGTCTTGCTGGTCTTCTTATATTACTGGTTTTATTTTGCTGGTCTTCTTACATTACTGGTTTTGTCTTGCTGGTCTTCTTATATTACTGGTTTTGTTTTGCTGGTCTTCTTATATTACTGGTTTTGTTTTGCTGGTCTTCTTCTATTACTGGTTTTGTCTTGCTGGTCTTCTTATATTACTGGTTTTGTTTTGCTGGTCTTCTTATATTACTGGTTTTGTCTTGCTGGTCTTCTTATATTACTGGTTTTGTCTTGCTGGTCTCCTTCTATTACTGGTTTTGTTTTGCTGGTCTATTTATATCACTGGTTTTGTCTTGCTGGTCTTCTTATATTACTGGTTTTATTTTTCTGGTCTTCTTACATTACTGGTTTTGTCTTGCTGGTCTTCTTATATTACTGGTTTTGTTTTGCTGGTCTTCTTATATTACTGGTTTTGTTTTGCTGGTCTTCTTCTATTACTGGTTTTGTCTTGCTGGTCTTCTTATATTACTGGTTTTGTTTTGCTGGTCTTCTTATAATACTGGTTTTGTCTTGCTGGTCTTCTTATATTACTGGTTTTGTTTTGCTGGTCGTCTTATATTACTGGTTTTGTCTTGCTGGTCTGCTTCCATTACTGGTTTTGTCTTGCTGGTCTTCTTATATTACTGGTTTTGTTTTGCTGGTCTTCTTATATTACTGGTTTTGTTTTGCTGGTCTTCTTATATTACTGGTTTTGTCTTGCTGGTCTTCTTATATTACTGGTTTTGTTTTGCTGGTCGTCTTATATTACTGGTTTTGTCTTGCTGGTCTGCTTCCATTACTGGTTTTGTCTTGCTGGTCTTCTTATATTACTGGTTTTGTTTTGCTGGTCTTCTTATATTACTGGTTTTATTTTGCTGGTCTTCTTATATTACTGGTTAGCCTTCCTGGTCTGCTTATATTACTGGTTTTGTCTTGCTCTGCGTGTTTGCCTTGCTTTCCTTGTCCTATTTATTTTACCTCGTTGGGCTTGCCGGTTGTTACCATTAGCACCTTTCCCTTCTGTCAACCGATTACCCATCATCAAATCAGTCTTACGATTCTTTCCGGATGTTACTATAGCACACGGGACGTACCATACCCTGTCTCGTGTGCCGCCACGTACCTTGTACTACGTCTGTTATTAATTGATATATTGCACGTTTTGGCATCCCGCTACGGGATATTTTTAGTTCTCTATGTTGCGATAGAAGGATCACATGACATATACATGCTAAATGTTCCAGGAAATTATGTTCAGTATCTGGCACTTTTTGTCCTACACATTTTCAAGTGTAGATTAACACGTGCAAACTGAGTCTTCCCATGAAGAAGCTAGGCGCACGAGGTCTCTTAAGCTGCCTATGGGATGCTACGGCTTATTGAAGCGGCTGCAAGATATGTCAAGTGGAGCTCCGGGGTGACGTCAAAACACGGTGATATCTACATATAGCGCCCTCGGGGATATCAGGTATATCCCAACGGTAACCACGGTACCCTCGCCGGGATACTAACAGGATACTGCAATATTTTCGACTCGACCTTTGCCCTTGTAGATACTTTCTTGGGAGACACCGGCGTCTAATAATGCAATACGAGTATCAAATAAAGCCATATCATCCACATATCTGTAATGTATTTCGCAGAAGGTTCATCAAGGATAACCATCAGTTACGCTTATAATTCTCTGAATGTGTGCATCTTCCTTGTGCTCGTTGGTATAACCAAAATGATACACTACAAGTTGAATCACGTCAGACTTTCCTCCACATTAAGCTGAACTCCGTGATATGACGTGAGGTGAAATTAAGTTTAAGGCCGCGTTCAAGATTATTGCACTTATAGCATGCAATGCATGTGTGAGTGCTGCTTTTACTAGTCTGCACTAATGCCAGTTTTATAGTGCTAACCCGCTGAGATACCATGCCGCAGTTTAACATGGATACCACACTCAGACCAGTATGCTGACTCCGAGCCGACCATCCCCTTAAAGCCGAGCGCCAGGCAGGGTAACAATAGGTACAACTTTTTAACTTCTCTCCGGGGTCGGGGATCGAACCACCGATTTTCCGCTCTCCACGCAGAAGCTCTATCCACTAGACCACGGAGTCGTTCCCGTGATATAATTGAAACACTAGTTTATTACAAAAACTCCAAGTAGTGTGTTATTTAATTCAAAATC